CACTCTTGTACATTCAGGTTGACTTATTTTTTTTTTCCTTTCTACTTTCACATTTGAGAGGAAACAGGCAGTACATATCTTTCTGGGTCTGGCTTATTTCATTTAAAATAATGTATAGATCTGATTCAAGAATCCCACTTCTGACTATATATCAAAAGGTAATAAAATCTGCATACTAACTGTGGAATCTGAATTTCCCAGACCTTATTTGTATACATGAAGTTATATAATAATAATGATCCTAAATGTATAAAAGTAATTCAAATTAATGCAATTCCTCAGGTTTCTTTTCCATCTCCTTTGTTCTGGGGTCCTTACCTTCCTCCAAGATCTTTAAGGTAGTTCCTAGGAGATCCTGGTGTGCTCTCCTAGGTAATCCTTTCCTGGTTTTCATCTGGACTCTTTAGAGGAAGTTTTTGTGGTATATAGCTGCTGCAGCTGTGCATGGGAAGGAAAACTGTCTCCTGGCTAAGGAGCTGGCCTGTAAAATTGCAGGGCCTCAGGACCTGTGATCAAAAAGCATCCTGCATGTTTCTTTTACTGTGAACTATGTTGCATGAATGCAGCTGTGGGGTGAATTGATTTGTTCGTTTCCCATTCTGCTTCCTTTCAAAGCAGAATGGCTTCCTGATTGTCAAAGTAAAATTGTTGTTTGCCCTTACCCCACTTTTCACAGAGTCTGTTGTTTCCTTAGAAATATCTGTAAAGGTAGATACTTTTATCCCCCCTCCCCTCCCCTCCCATCTTCTCTCTAGGGGATAGGAAAGGTAGCAGAATACAACAGTTACTAATAGGGCATTATGTAAAAATGTGGATGTGTAACCGATGTGATTCTGCAATCTGCATTTGGGGTAAAAATTGGGAGTTCATAACCCACTTCAATCTATTGTATGAAATATGATATGTCAAGAGCTTTGTAATGTTTTGAACAACCAATAAAAAAAAAAGAAAAGAAAAGGTAGACACTTTTATAAGTAATCTCATTTTACTGAAAAGAAAAAAAAAAACCTGGGATTTCAGAGGTTTAATGGATACTGCTGGTTATCGGTGATGATGAGTTATCTGACATGTTGAAGTTTAAACATTAGAGAAGCACACCAAGGCAAGCATATAAAGCCGGGTTTATTTAAAAAGGGGTAACACAGACTTCTCCCACAAGGGAGAAGGGGGCCATAGCTGGTATCCTGGTATCCCCAGAAGTGAGGTGTTCTGCCCTTTTTATATGTCCTAGGCTTCCTTTGCTCTCCTGCCCCCCCACCCCCACCCCATCTTTCTTCTTCCTGCATGTGTGACTAGGCCCAGGAATGCTTGGTGGGATGGCCAAAAGGAGGGAAACCAGTGGGCTGAAGGGGGAAGGGCAAGATGATACAGCTCAGAACACATTATCAACCTTAAGCTCCCTGTAGGGAGGGGCAATTCCTGGGACAGGTTACCTTGGCAACAGGCTGGAGCAGGGGCAGGTTCTTGATAAGGGTGGAGGAAGGGCTCTGGAGGAATTAACATTTCAATTCCTCAGGGGACAGTCTCCAACATCCCAGGACTTATTCAAAACTGGCCTGACTTGGTCTGAACTGAGTCAATTTATCTATCTATACTGACTGCCTGTCGAATTCCGGCTTCATAATCACGTCACCTATGAACATTTCTTTACTGCCTAATACATAAACATTTTGGAGCATGTTATTAGATCCAAACCACAATGGTCGTGGATTTTAGAAAATGCTTTGATTTTTATTTTAGGCCATAGGTTGCCCATTTCCTTTGTCTGTGATGCATTTTGGTCAGTGGCCACATGTGACTTTTCCAGTGCCTTCAGGTTTTGCTCATAGTTTGTCTCAGTTGAAGTCTCCCCTGACCATTTTCACTAAATATTGAAAACCTCCCTTTTTCATAATACGCTCTACTTCCCTAGTCTGCTCTATTTTTCTATACTTTTTATTCTTTCTAAATACTAAGTTATTTAATTATTATTATTATTGTACATTTTCTCTTATTTGAATACAAGCTCTGTGGAAGTATGCACTGTTTGTTTCTCTGTTTTGGTCAATGATGTTTCTAAGTGCTCAGAATAGTACCTGAAATATTGTAAAGTCCCAGTAAATATTCACTGAATAAAGTAATATCTTTTAAGTGCAATTTTTATAATTATGAGTTTTTTCTTTCCTTTGTGAAAGAAAATTTTGTAAGGAGAAAAACAAATCAATTTCTTCAGTGGTCAAAATTTGCAGTTAAGGCATAGAATGTTTTCCTGACTATATCATTAGAGTCATGATTGAGGCAAACCAATTATCCTATTTGAGCCTCAGCTTCCTCATGTTTATGTTCTCTCTAGTCCTCTACAGGGATGAGCTGGGACATCTAGGGAAAAAAATTCACCAACATCATTCATATATATGTAAAAAAAAAAATGTTTCTCTCATTCCCTTCCTTTTTTTTCTTTGTTGACAGTCAATAGGTTAATACAATTTGTAACCTTGAAGCCAATTGCTAGAGTTTAGGAGAGGACTGTTGAGCCTCAGTGGTATAAGACATTAATACATTCAAAACAAAACAGGCTTGAGAAGCTTATAGAACTTCTAGGCAGGGTAAAATACCAAATAAGGATTGTAAAGCCTCTAGAAGCAACATATTCATGGTAAGTTGCGTACAAATTGCTTGTTCAGAAAATTATACCATTGATAACAGGACTGTTAATGTGCTTACCCTTTGGGATAGTTTATAAATAGAAAAAAAAAATCCATGATGACACTGAGCTTGACTATTTAGTCTAGATTCTATGTTCTTAAAAGGAGATCTCTGGGTAGTGCTGAAAAGAGAAAGGGGTTAAGCGATGTCTTCTCTTTCTCAGACTCAAGCCCCACTGGTGAATGCATACAAAATAGGAAATCCTTTGCCCAAGTATTATGTTACTTGGACTCACACAATGGAACCATCTACCCAAGCTTCCTATTGAAAGTGCTGTATGCACTAGATATACCCATCAGCCCTCCAGGCCACATCAATGAGTGGGGATTTAAGGAGAAACCAATTCATTTGAAGTACTTAACAGTGACTTATAATTATTTGGAATTAGGGAAAATGGAGTTATGTCATTTAGAATTATTATTAAGAAGGATACTGCTTCTGCAAATATCTGTAACTGCTTTTCTAGCTCAGAAGATTATAAAGGGGTGTATACTATTTTAGATAGGTACAACATTATGTTGGGGCTAATACAGACTTTCAGACTGTCTGCTGTGAAGTAGCACCCCGAAAATAATTCTGCTTTTAATAGAATCTTCCTCATGTTCTTCGCATGTTTTACAAATTATGGAAAGCTCTGGGGTGGCCTCCTCCTTGACTTGACACAGTAGCTTCCATGAGAACCTTAGCCATGAGGACAACTAAAAGAAAGTTGGTACTGTTTATATATTGCAGTTGTTTATAAATGAGAACCTACTGCACAATAAAACCTAATAGCCTCCTCAAACAAGTGTTATTATTCTACTTTTAAATGATGAATCTTGAAAAACAGTCTTTAATAAATATTTCCTTCACTTTTTAAATAAGCACATTATAAGCACCTTTTGTATACCGAACAGAAACACAACAGTGGTTATCAAAGGGAGCCCAGGCAGGACAGCTTTCAGCCTAATGTAAAACATCTCCATCTCAATCTACACCTGTTGTTTAGAATACACTATAATTTTCTTAATGGTAATACTACGCTACTGAAACATTCTTAATCACGAAAAGAATATCTAACAGGTTTTAATACATTCAAATTTGTAAAGGAAAAAAATGAGAGCAAAACTCAGGAATGGTTTGCTATTAACTATGTGAACTGGAAATTGTATGTAGCATACCCATTTTTGTGGGTTAAACACATTTCGTGGGTTTCCCCAAACTGAGAAGGACATTTTCTTCTCAGTTGTATGAGAAAATGGCCTTCAGAAGGTTTTGTTTGCTCTACATATTATTGGCTTTCCTGATGCTTATGATTTTTATTTGCTTGCAGGAAATTAGACCCAGGGGCACTTAATCACTGAGCCACATCCTCAGCCATTTTTGTATTTTATTCAAAGACAGGGTCTTTCTGAGTTGCTGAGGCTGGCTTTGAATTCATGATTCTTCTGTCTCAGCCTCCTGAGCCTCTGGGATGGCAGGCATGTGTCACTGCCCCTATCTGATGGGTTTTCTCCAAACCTATAAGCTTGAAATTTCATGACTAATCTTAAAAAAAAAAAAAAAAAAAAAAAAAAAAAAAAAACAAAAAAAACATCAAAATGTAAAGTCAACCCGGAGCTGTTCTTATCCTGACACATGGGAGGTAAGTCAGGACCCCTTTCCTGAACCAACATTCCTTTTTCTCAGGCTCCACATTCCTCATTGTCTCACAGAGGCAGAGAACAAAGGTCAGACTCTTTCTGGCCCTGGTGATGGTGGTGCTTTTGTATTTGATACTTTTTAAAAGGAATTTTTAAAATTCATATATAATGTTTTGTGTTTGGTTTATGTCAACGCATGTCCAATTCACTCAATTATGATTCCTTACTGATATCATAGAAACCTGAATTTGTGGCCCTGCCTCTTGAGAGTTGTCACTAAACAATATTCAAACAGTTTTGATGCCAATATGATTTGTATGTTCATATATGTGTGTGCATACATACATATATACATTTATGTATATTTAGAGAGAGACAGAAAAAAAAGGCAGGAAAAAAGAGGAAAGGAAGAAAGAGGGTGGGAAAAAGAAGGGAAATAAAGAGGAAGAAAGGAAGGAAGGAAGAGGAAAAAGGAAAGAAAAGAGGAAGGAAAGAAGAAAAGAAAGCAGAGAGATGAGACATATATATATGGCGAATCATGACAAACGCTCTCCAAAAAGTATTTCCTTCCTTTTTAATGTGGGTGTACACATACAACCCAAATTCTTTGAGACATTTTCTTCTCAGTTCTATGATTTCCTGTGCTCTGCTTCAACCTTGTGTCCCTAAGCTGTGAACTCTCTTGTCTTTCAGATGGAACCCCATTTACCTGGTGGATCGGGCGGTCCAATGAAAGGCATCCTTACTGGGGAGGGTCTCTTCCCGGAGTCCAGCAGTGTGGATGTGGCCTGGAAGAGAGTTGCCTGGACATTCGACATTTTTGCAATTGTGACGCTGACAAGGATGAATGGTAATGAGAATTTCGATCTTTCTACAGTTGTGGAGGAAGCACATTAATTGATGCATGAAATTTCCCCAAAGAGAGAATAATGTGGATGAGAGATTCAATAAGAACCCAGGCCCCATGATATTTGTGATTGTTTTTAATTTTGAAAATAGCTAGTTCTGATATTTACAGGACTACTACTGAGGTTTGTGACATGAAGGCATACGGTTACAACATTGCCTGTCTTCTTGTATTTGGAATCTTGCATTTCAAACCAAAGGAATGGAAAGCAATATTAAGCTATGCAATTGAGTCAATTATGGGTGGAATATAGGTTTGGGTGAAGGAAGTGATGGGTTTGTAATATGTAATTATACAGAAAGTTTCTCCTTTCTGTCACTGATTTTTTTAGTTCCTTTCGCCACCAACAAAAATATAGCAAATTCATATATATTGATCATCTAACTAACCTTCATGGTAGTCATTATATTCCGTAAGACTTTTTGGCTTTTCATTTTTAGGTTGAAAAAGGCTGGGAGGAGATAATTTATTTTTCCCAGGGTCATGCATGTTTATCACATAATAAATTCCAAATTTGAAGTTGGTCTATCTGTAGCGATAATATATCAAACTCTCCTAAACTAAGTTAATTCTGTAAAGTGTAGTCGCGTTTTAAGTTTTCATGCCCATTAAACTATGTTTCCTTCGTCCTCCAGCTGAATTGTTTGCTTTCTACTGTATTAGCTATGAAAATATGCACAGAGCATTTCCACATACCCTTTGGTATTGACTGAATTTAAGGCATTATTTGGTTTTGGATTATGCAATTTTGCTTGCCTCATCAAATGCAGCTCAATCACATTTAAGAATCCCTATGTCAAGCTGCTCTCTGCCCAGATAAAATTTCTTTTTGGAACAGTAATTTTCTTTCACTGTTCAAATTGTTACCAGCAGGGACTGCTGCAAACAAAATGTCAGGTTGAGTCTAAATCTCACTTCAGTGAGGAAAGGGCTGAGCATCTGGCTCCATTGGGTTGCATATGATATGGATAATCACTTCAGAACACCACAGGGCTGCTCTCTTACGGCAAGTTTCCTGACTGTCTTCTCTTTACCCTATTTTCTTCATATGGAGAGAATCAGATGAAGTTGACTGCACGTACAATGGCCCTCTGGTTTTCTTCGGACCTCTACTTTACCCGCAGTAAATTCTCTGATAGCATTGTGAAAACCTACAAAAAATATAAGTTGTGTCCTGGATTGTGACTGTATCTCTGTTAACATTATACCACTCAAGACCAGCTCATGAGGCAGTAGACACCTGATGTGTAGTTGGTGGAACACATAAACTTTAAATATCTTTGGAGAGGAGGAATCACCACAAAAATGTCTTCTACAAGCATGGGAGTTACGTGTGATAAATGGTAGAGGGCTGTGTTTGCCAGAAAAACATATTCAAGTTCTCCACTCCCAGCAGCTTGGATTCAGTCATCTCTTTGATTCATAAGTTCAGCTTCACTGTGCATGATATTAATATTATCTACAGATTTATAGGCTTCAATGGAAACACCTTCACTTCTTGGTGTATAATTAGAGAAGTTGATGTAAGAAGTAGGATGCAAGATGAAAGTCATTGATAAAGGGAAGTGTTTCTCCTTTGATGGGTTTTCCTACTGCACACTGTTGAGAAACTCCTCTTTTAGGGAACAACAGGCCAGTGCTTAATTTACTGCACATTGAAGGGAAGTGGGGACAATGGTATCATTCAGTTAATATGGTTGTTACTCTATACTCACTTCTCTGGAACATTATATTTTCATGACTTCTACTAAGATTCCAGTCTGTCCCTCCTCTGATCTGCTCATTAGTTCATGAACCTCTGAACCCCCTCATGTGTTGCTTTGTCTTCATCATCTAGACTGTGCTCAGAGGGACATGATTTCCTCCAACTCTTAGGCCAGCACATCTTTAGCACCTTAGAGATTATTGCACATCTCACCACCCTTTCTACTTCCTTTAGAGACATGCAAAAATCCCACTCTTTTCCTCCTTCTAGGGCCAGCAACCTCTATTAGATTGTCAAAAGTCATTATGAGATATGGGTCTTGTTTAGCAGCCAACTTTCCAAGAATCAGGAGACGAGAACTAACTTTCCCTTCAGAACATTGTGTGCCTTATCCACAGGGGTTCCTATGGAACCTGTGAGGGCAAAGTCTAGGTGGGAAAAGACCCAGTGCATTTCATCATTCTCATGAAAAAACAGAGGCTGAGATTCCAACTTAACTCTTTTCGGTTTTTTCCATTGTCTAAGGATACATGATTTGGGAGAATAACATTTTATATGAGCAACTGTATGTTTTATGCCATGTGGTATTTGCTTTTTTTTTTTTTTTTTTGCTTATTTACAAAGTCTCCCTTCTGTGCCAGCCATCTAGAAGAATATGCAAATTAGTGTTATACAGGAAAGAGGAACCTCTGTGTGCTGAGACAGAGTAATGTGAAAAAAGTATGAAAATCACTATTTCCCCAAAACATGGGCTCATTGGTGTAGTTGTTGCATAGTTTCATATGGAGAATCTACAGGGGATGAAACTAGGAAAGAAGGTTGAATCCATGATCATGAAGCAAGCTCCTTCTGTGGGAAATATCAATGAGCTAGCTCTGTCTGCATAGGGATTGAGGACATGCAATATGCATTCAGACACAGCACCTGGTAGAACCTTGTGGAAATGCATTCATTTTTTATGTACCTGGTTCCATTATTTATTTCAAAAAGGAAAAGTACAAAAGCTGATACTGTGTTGAAATGATTAATTAGGTTCAACATTCATCCAACATTATTCTTGACCAAATTACGGTTAAGATGCTTTTCCACATAAAATTCGGATTTTTGTTTCAGATAGCATGTTCCTTTTAGCACTGCTGGTGTTCCCAGGGCATCTAATAAACCACAAATGACTTTGCCTTGTAAAATTCCCTCGGAGTTTCGGATCTTGGAGAAAGTTAATCAGAACAGACTTGGGCTAGTGTAGCACCTTCCAGAGAGCAGTTTAATATATTACAACTCCTAAATAATATTGTCCCTTAAAAATGCTATTGCATCTGAAGTTTTCTTAGTATTTGATGTACTGTTTCTGATATTTACATTTCAATACCCCTTGAGGTTGGTTTTATTATCGTCTCCTTTACCCAGAAAAGGAAACTGAGGCTCAGAGATGATTAGTGGCATGGTTAAGGTCATTTGAGTAAGAGAACAAAAAATTGATATTTCAGCTGAATTCAAGGATTCTCCTATTGACTATAGCAAAGAAACTGCTAATGTTGGGATTTCAATCATGGCTAGTCGGCGAGGATGCTGAGAGAATTCTCCCAGGATCTTTCAAATCACATCACTGCAGCATGCTTCTTCTTGCTACGTCAGATAGCTCATGGCACCTGGGCTGACTTCCAAGCCTCTGGTGATTGAGAATTCTTTGGACTATTTCAGTAAGCCTCTGTAATTGTGTAACTTACCGTCATATGTTCCAATGAGAACCAATTAATTAAGGAAAATTGGTGTGTTCTCTAGGATTGGGTGAAAGTGAGAGATGTCAAAAGATGGAGTGCCTGTGGACAGAAAAAGAGTTGCCCAATGGATATTTCTAGGAATACATTTGCTGCTTAAAGAAGTAGTATATTTCTTTTGGGTAAAAGGAAGCCCCAGTTAGATAAGTAAATCATGTGTACAGATGTCCCTCGATATCTCCTGATATTTGGTTTCAAGATTCACCCCTATAGCAAAACCCACAGACACTCAAGTCACTTGTGTAAAGTGAAGTAGTACTTTGTATAGAACCTACACACATCCTTCCCTGTAATTTAAGTCATCACTACATTACTTACAGTGCCTAATACAATATAGATGCTATGTTAATAGTTGTTCTGTGTTGCTTAGGAAATAATGACAAAATTTTAAAAGACTGTTCTTGTTCAGTAGACACAATTAGAATTGAAATGTCTTTTCAATCTGTAGTGGATCAGATCTGTGGATGCCAAACCTGTGGCTATGAGGGCTGATTTTACCATGGAACTGATCTCTTAAGTGTTTCTATCTCAGCCTAAAAACGAAATAGGAAGGAGAAAGAGAAAGGAATGAAGAAACTTATAATATATAACAGTTTCCCAGCTAATGACTGTTTGCAAGGGAACTTTTCTTTATTTAATTATCCAATTGATAGGAATCTTTCCAACTATGAGTTTGCTGAAGCAAGTACTTCAGACTGAGGAACCACACTGAGATTAGGAAAGAAAATCCCAGTGACATCCCCAGCCTGCAGCCCTGGAGATAGCACAGAGCAGAGCTGGGCTGTGTGGGAGGTGAAATAATCTTCCAGGTGGAGGATGAAAAGCAGGGGTAGACAGCACTGGGGACGGCAGGTGGGAGGTGTATAGTGGGCTCCTTGGTGATGGTGACCCACAGCCTGATCAGGAGCTTTTTCATCCATTTCTCCAGGTTGAAAGACAGAAATGTTCTCTTGCTTTGCAGCAGAGCATTCTTTCATTTGTTGTACAAGAAAGTGTAAAAGTTTTTATCTGATTTTTGAAAAAACTATTCTGTGCCTTTTGCCCTTAGTGTATCCTTGTACAAAGTGATATGATACAAACTAGGAAGAAAAAATGATATAGGGTTTAAATTCTATTCATCTGATAAGACAAGAAAGGAAACCTACTGGTCTTTTTCTTAAAAAATAGAATATTTTTAGGGGACCTTTTTTTTTTTTTTGGTTTTCTTCAGTGTATGGAATCCTGGAGCTTTTGCCTTCTGTGTAGCCCTTGATTCTACTTCTCTGTCACAGAGCGATTATTTAATGAACGTTGCTGAAACCATGAATGAAAGATGGGTGAATGGCTTCTGTTGGACATATTTTCACATCTTTTTCTTTTAGTAGGTCAGTCATGACCATTTTAGAATTCATTGATGTTTACTTTACTGTTAACCATTGCTTATCTTTCACAGTCTCACAAGCAAGGTTTACCACGTTTAA